GGCTGGGAGGCAGAAGAGGTCTTCACCTTGCCCCAGTGTGGCTGCTAGGCAGGAGGGGGGAAGGGGGGTTGCCAGTGCCTCCCCCCCCCAGAAGCTTCCCCCCTATAGTAAGGATGCCAGTTCTTTAGGGTTGGGATTAGGGATGCCAGTTCTTCAGGATTCAGCACGGGCATCAATTGCCCGGTGACTATGGAAAGCAATACGGGGGTTGCGGCAGAAAAAAATGACAGTACGTCATGGTGTGGGGGGGAAGAAACCACCTGGAGTAGCTTCAGAGCCAGCAATAGCGTCCCCTGCAAGCTTTGCACTCGTGCCACCACTTAGGAGAGATTCAGATGCCGCCCAGCTGAATAGCAGAACGCCCACAGTTCGGCTTTTTTTGTTTCTACATGTGGTGCACATTTGCACCTGTCTTGGTGCATATTAAATTATTCCACGCCTAGAAGGAAAAAAATCTGCACGCAGAGTGGAAAAATTAGAAGGAACATTGGTCAGCCACCCTACCCAAAAGCAGGCCTGTATTATGCTACAAGAAGAAAGTGGTGTGTGGTAACCCCATGATATCGTGGTGCTTGAGAACAGCATTGTCACATCTAAGCGTGGTTATGTGACATCGCACTAGCACGGCCTCACTGCCCCTCAGCCAGTCTTACGTACGTCAGGGGGATTGGCCTGGGAATGATGTCAAGGCCTGCCGAACCTTGACAAGTGAGAATAACAGCACAATCTGTTTCCAAACGACATATGGGAGGGAACGCCGCATGTGGTATGGTGAAACAACACAGCACAAGGCCATGGCATAATGACATCTTAAAATGTCCACACACTCCATCAAACTAGCATCATGTCTTCACACAACAGGATCACACATCAGCGTTACCTCTTTGGGTCAAAATGTCTTCACAGCATGAAAGAGCACATTATAATGTCATGCAGCTAGTCCAAACTGGTATCAGTCATACAATATCAGAATATGATATATTCAAACACCATCACATCATATTGTCAGCTTTGGTTGAAGTGTCACATCACCTCAAATCATGGCATCATAACATATGACACAATATCACCTCTGGGGGGGTCAAAGACAAAGGCAAAAAAATTTTAAAGTGAAAGCTTAACACACTTTCAAATAGCAAACTCTCTGTGATGAAAATTACTATATCGGACAACAAAAATGCAACAGAAGCATCTTACAAAGTGCACTTGCTGGGGAAGCGCATATAATTGCAGAAGAACTCATCGAGCCTGGTGCAAAAGATATTATGATGTGTATGCTTGATGAGCAATCTAGTAAAACTGTGGAAGCCATGCTGCTGTCAAACAATACTGTTGCGTATTGCATTCAAGATCTTGCTGCTGCTATCAAGAAAGAGATAGTAAGGGCTCCCCCAGATTTTCAGCACCCCCCCCCAGAGGAGATCCACTGCCTGTGATGGCGAGTTGGGGTTCCACCCAATCCTGCACCCCCATAGCCACAGGCACAGACTCCACCAGCCAGTAGAATAGAGGGAGTTTATTGCTTCTCCAGGGTACAGCACAGCATAGATGTAATCTGGTTACAGGAATTAGGGCCAGGATGCCTCAGGCCCCCTTGAGATGGGGTGACTGGGCCCCTACAACCCCAGCTTCCTCCTCAGTCTCTCTCTTTCATGGCTTCAGCCTGGAAAAACTGCCCCTTCCCCTCCAACACACTTCCTTTGTTCAGCTTCTTCCCTTAACTGGTAGAACTGGTTTTAGCCACTGCCCTGGGGCGGTAAGGCACCCCCTGCTGGGCTGTGATTACAGACAGCTGCCAGTTACCCACAGCCCAAGCATAGCAACCAACAATAGGGTGCTGTGTAGACACACCCCTAATGACCCAAATTTGGGATCACTTGACGGAGGGACCCCACCGAGATACAGGCTGTCCTCCCCTCCCCC